GACCTGAAATACTAATTGTACTATTCTTTCCAATTTTTAGCAAAGACTCTCCACTTAATTCGAATGAGTTAGATGATAATATTGTTGATTCTCCAGTATTTAATGTTGTGTTATATAACAAAAATATAGTTGATGCATTAATAGTACTATTAATTCCTAGTTCAATGACAGCATTTGAATATGATGATATATATTCCTTAACATCAATATAAACATTATTTTTAATATTTAATTGTGGAGTTTGAAATACATAAATATTATTAGTTATTAATTTAGCTTTATCTTCAATAGAAATAGTAGAAGTACCATAAACATAAAGATTCTGACATTCAAATAAACTCAATGAACCAATATGAATTTGACCATTATTAAATATATTAACAAAATATCCATTAACTTTAATAATACATTTTCTTTCTATTGTAAGTATAGTATTGTCATATAATTCAAGTTGATTCTTAATAACTAAATGACTTCCTTCTTTAAAGTAAATTAATGAATTTTCATATCCTATTAAACTGTCAAAGATAATTACCTCACTCTCCTTTCCATTAATAAATAACCCATTTGATTTTAATACAACTTTTCCTTGTTTAACATTAAAATGTCCTTTATTGTTAATTTCAAGTGTTGAATTCTCTTCAATAATAACATTTCCTTTCACTTCTAATGTTCCTTTAACAACAACTTTACTTTGTTTAATTTCTATTTGTGGAATTTCTACTACACTATCTCTTTCAATAATAAATTGATTTTTAATAATACTATAGTTCATTAAAATAACATGAATATTAGGTTCTACAATTATTTTTTGTTGAATGGTAATGTCTTTGTCTATTTCAATTGTACAATTCTTTGATATTTTAATTTGGTCAATTCCTTTCATTAACTTATCACATTCTCCAGTAATATGAAAATCTTTATTAATCTCTAAAAATTGACAATTCTCTCCTGTAAACCCTTCATTACAATTAATTGAAATTGGTTGACATGAAATCTCATTAGCATTGACATGAGTTTTTATCCAAAAGAAGAAGAAGATAATGAAAATCATGTGTTACTTAAATCTTTTAAGTTCATCTCGAAGTATTAAAAGAATTTCTTATTTTTGTTATTTTTTATTTCTTTATTAAATTATACTTTCTAATAAAAGTAATTAATTATTATGAAATTATAATCAAAACACAAAAAAGAAATTGATTTTTTTGTGGTTTTTTTTAAAAGACTTCAATGAAATGAACAAAATAAAAAACAGTTGATGAAAAGAAACCCAATTGAAGCAATAACAACCACAATTTGATGAAAAGCTTAAACTTTTTTAAATTTTCGTCATTTCTGGGTCAACTCCACGCTT